TTGGCTTGTGTACTAACTGTCCAAAGGAATGTTTTGCTTGTATATTAACTGTCCAAGGGAAGGTTTGGCTTGTGTACTAACTGTCCGATGGAATGTTTGACTTGTGTACCAACTGTCCGATGGAATGTTTGGCTTGTGTATTAACTGTCCAAGGGAAGGTTTGGCTTGTGTACTAACTGTCCGATGGAATGTTTGGCTTGTGTATTAACTGTCCAAGGGAAGGTTTGGCTTGTGTACCAACTGTCCGATGGAATGTTTGGCTTGTGTATTAACTGTCCAAGGGAATGCTTGGCTTGTGTACTAACTGTCCAAGGGAATGCTTGACTTGTGCACTAACTGTCCAAGCGAATGTTTGGCTTATGTACCAAGTGAATGTTTGGCTTGTGTACCAAGTGAATGTTTGGCTTGTGTACCAAGCGAATGTTTGGCTTGTGTACTAACTGTCCAAGGGAATGTTTGGCTAGCGTACTAACTGTCCAAGGGAATGTTTGGCTTATGTACTAACTGTCTAAGTGAATGTTTGGCTTGTGCACGAACTGTCTAAGTGAATGTTTGGCTTATGTACTAACTGTCCAAGGGAATGTTTGGCTTGTGCACTAACTGTCCTAGGGAATGTTTGGCTTGTGCACGAACTGTCCAAGAGACTGTTTGGCTTGTGTACTAACTGTCCAAGGGAATGTTTGGCTTGTGCACTAACTGTCCTAGGGAATGTTTGGCTTGTGTGATAAATGTCCAAGATTCACACAAATACGTTCAAACTTGCTCTGCATAACAAGCATTCTATTTCTAATCTCAAATGACAGGCATTTATGGAATACGTTCCTAATTTAATTTGTTTTTTGTTTTTAATTTTGCTTGTCGTGACTGCTGGTTATTTCTGAGATATATTTTCCATCTGATCCATGTGCCTAGAGACTTGAACTTCTCCCTAGTGAAATCACAGTGATAAACCACCCTGCTAGGCATGCAGCTATAAGGAACTAGGAACCAGCAAATACTATAACAACAAAAATAAGCCAGGGACCCTTTTCCACGCATTCTGCCCCTGTGTGGATTTGGGGTTCCACTGGGTGGCTGAAGGAGCACTATCACCTTAACAAGCATGTCAAAAAGCCAACTAATTAGGGGTGTTTCTTCCAAGTCAGAGTGCATCTGCCTAAAAGACGAGGAACAAACAGGCATATATGCCCAATACACCTGAAGGTGTAGAAAAGGGTCCTTTACTGAATCCTAACTTATTATTATCCAGATAATGTTATTATAACTAAAGCCACTAGTATAAGTGTCCTAAATAGCTTTCACATGCAGTACCTTTGGAAGAAAACTTGGCAAAGGGGCAATACAAAATCACAAACACTGAGGTTTGGAAAGAACACGTATTACAAGTTTTCTTAATGCTCAGTCTCCAAAGGCTCAGGGGGCTGGGTCACACCTGGAGAGTTGAGGATGATAGAGACCCTAAAGACATTCTCTATGGTGAATTACAGATGGGAGGAAGATGTTGAGACCAGCCTTTAATACGATATATGGATGCGTGCAAACGGGACATGAATGATACTAGTATTTGAGTAGATTTGTTGAAACATAATGCCATGGACCAAAGGTGGCACATAAGAAAGAGGTGAGATAAAAAAAAAATGATTGCAGAAAGGATGAGAAATAGGAGGTGTCTGAGAAGACACACGTTAAATACATATAAGGGCAACAACAGTCCTGAAAGGCCATGTGCTAACTGTGGAAGACTTCTTGACGTGGGCGGGTCTTGCTAGTAACATTCACCATCTCCATGGGCTAGGAGTTCCATCCCTCCCCATAGCACAGTATAACACTATATTCTGGAAAGATGGAGAGGTGCCAACAACAAGTACATGTTGCAATGGAGTATCCTGCCATCTCCAGGCACAGAACCCAACAAATGATTTGATATCTTGAACTACATGACAAATGTTTTCTTTGTTTCAACTCTTTCAGATTCATTTGAAGGAAAGTGGCAGATAACAAAGACAAACACTGAGTACACAAAAGAATGTAATGGCAGCAGACCATCAGGCAGACTAAGAAGAAAGCGGAGAGATGACTGCAAACCTACAAATAGCTGGAGTCCCCAAATGGAAAGAGAAGGACAGAGCCAATCAGAGAGATGAATGGAGGCGGGTAATACATGCAAAAGTGAACCTCAACGGCTCGGAATGCTGAGGAAGAAGTATAATGCAACACAACAGACTGTACGCATGATATTTTTTTAACTTTTTTCTCATCCAGCTGGTACACTGGCCAATTGTATCCCAATTTTTACATTAACTCCTTTTATCCTACACTGTTATTATTCCATCAGTTGAGACTCCGGCATGTTTTAGTTTAGGTGACAAATGTGTCTGATTTAATGACTAAAATATTGCCAGAAATATTTCATTACATTGTCTCCCATTAGTGTAGGTCAGCGGTTCCCTTCCCAACATTTTTTTGAGTCTTGATCCCATTTCATAGTGTCAGAGTGACCCGCGACCTCCACACATAAAAAATATGCCTTTTAAAAGGGTAAATGAAAACACATCAAAATTACATTTTTCTACGCAGGAAACAACATTTTTGTTTTTCCTTTCTAACATTTCCAAAGCTTATCACTGTAAAAAAAAGCCATAGAGAACTATTTGCGTCCCCAGCTGGAGTTGGGGTGGGAACTTATGGTGTAGGTGTTATAGGTGTTAGTATTAATTCAGACCTCCCAAAAACAATACTACAGGGCTCCATAGAGAAACATGAGAAGAGGCAGACCAAGAAAGATCTGGATATAGAAGTTGACTGACTTGATGCGGTCATGAATCCAGCACATTTGACTGTCAAAGGTGGAGGAAGCTGACCAGTCAACAGCAATTGGTGATCCAACAACATGCAGTGTTATGGGATGATGATGATTAATTCAGGATAGAAAAAAAATTTCTCGACCCTGAATCATCTGATGCAGAAGTTCTTTTATCTGAGTAAGATTTTTATAAAAACTAAAAAAGTCAGTTTTTGACAACTACAGAAAATGCATTTTATATTAAAAACAGAGCTAAAATTAGTGGCCAGAGGACTGAGCACAAACAGGACTGCCCAAGACAGACAGATAGATAGGTAGACAGAGAGACAGATAGATGGGTGGATAGATGGAGGGGTAAATGGGTGGATGGAGGGGTGAGTGGTTGAATGGAGGGGTAAATAGAAAGAGGGGTGGATGGACAGATAACTGAGTGGGTGGATGGATGGAAGGATCAACCCTAGCATTTGTTGACTGGTTTTTTCAAATACACTTTCACATTCAGTAGTTTGCCACTGCTTTCTGATTGGTCTTTTGTTCTCAATACCATAGTCAAAATCAATGCAAACTGGTCTGCTACGAAAACCCCTGCAGCTGAATTGAACTGTGTATTGTGGAATTACAACCCTGTTCTCAACCCCTAAAACAAAGATGCTGACAAACAAAACACATACTATGCAGGCGACAGGAGCCATGAAATCCAAGACAATATGTAAGGTGTGGTCATGCCTGGTACTGCAGCCAGCAAAGATGGGAAGAGGAGCTCTCCCGGGAGGGTGACAAGTGAAAACAATGAGCCTGCAGCTGTCCCACGAGGAAACAACATTCCACCGTCCCATGGTCTAGAGTGGCCCTTGTATCCGTGAGGATACAGGCTAACCTGAAAATGGCAACCTGGAGAGGATTTGGCATCACTATGGCAGAAACCCTGCCTGAGAGACACCAGAGTTAGTTGCGTATCCTTTACAGGACGTTGCAGAACCAACCCTAACAGCCCCTGGCTGTTGTGTGGTTTCTCTAGGCAATTTACATCCAGTAGTTTACCACTGCTTTCTGGACGGTCGGCTTTCTTGATACCACTGTCGAAAACAACGCAAGGCGCATTGCCCGCAGCTGGGATCGAACCCGGCATTACGAAGCGAAGCGTCCGCATTGACTTAGCCACAGAGCCAACGAGACACACCATACTGACTGATAAATCAGATTATTCTAGACGTTCTCGGTTGTTGATAAAGTTACTAGGGTGCGGACCATTCGTCTCAGAATCAATTAACACATTAGCAACTACAAACTTCTTTTAACAATAGAGAAAAGACCGCAAATTAAAAAAAATGGAGATGTAATATCACTTACTGGCCTCTCTAAAAATGACTCTACAGGTCACTGCCCTGAGGAAGAGGAGAAAAGAGCAAAACTTTGGAACAAAGTAAAGCTGACTATTTGTGCCTGCATCAAGTCCAATGCATATGAGAAGACAAGGTTTAAGGAAATTGAATAGACACTCAACAACAACTGGTGACTCAACAACATGTGGAGGTATGGTACTATGATGATCAAGCTGTTTGACCCGTGAATCAACAACTATGTGATGCACTACAGTTCACTCATCTGTCACATTGTTAAATGAATCATCTCATTGATTGTAAAGTGAGATAATGAATAAATCAGAGCATAAAATGAGTCCGGCGTATACCTGCTAGAAACAGATCCATAAAATACAGAATGTGATCTTTTGGTGTTTGTTTTTTTCAGTGAAGAGGAAACATGAAGAACAAAGCTGTTAACAAACTACAAACAATCATAAACTGGGGCCTGTGCAGTACAGAAGAAATAGTTTAACAGAACCAATAATGTAGAGTTTCAGGAAAAGACAAAAAATTTCTGTTAATCAAGGGGTGAAAACAAGATGCTGACACAGGATAAGACACTTAATTAGAAAACATGATATCACTATTATGAATACAACAGAATGCACTTTAATTAAACCCAAGGGTGAAAGGCAAAAAAGCAGATTTTTAAAAATCGAGAAGGGAACTAAAGAGTAATTGAAAAAGATGGAGAGGACATAGGGTGAGTTTCAGGTGATGATAAAAAAAACAGGATGATTTGGAGTGATTTTATGGTCTATGCTCCATTGGGGATAAAGGAAAGAAGAAAAAGAACAACAACAAGATATAGTTATTACTACAAAGGATTTTACCTTGAAAAAATTCTGGAGATGTTGAATGCTCTTGCTGCCCCTGTTGTTTACTCTTGCCTTCCTCGTCACTGTGTTTGAAATCTGAGTATCCTCCATCAGAATCATCATAATCCTCATCCCAATCCAGCACGTGGATACGTTTGTAATCCTGCACCATATGTTTGGGTGGCTTTGATACTCGACCTGATCGAGTTCTTGGTCTATGTTTCTTCCGTTCTTCCTTTTCCTCTTTTGAAAGTTCAGGTACATCTGAGACATTTTTCTCTTTATCTTCCTCTTCTCCTGCCCCAGAAGTAACAGCAGCATCTTTTCTCTTTTTGTAGGCTCGTTTCTGATGTGGTGTGGCTGTTTGTTGTTCTTGAGATGTTGTGGGTTTGACAACCTGGTACGTTGTAACACCCGCTCCGTTTTGTGCTTTGTGAAGTTCAGAAGGGTAGATCACCCGATACATGATACGTGTGTTGGTCTGAGGGTTAAAAATAACTGCACCGCCATTCTCTTGTGTGTTTTTGTTGACATGTTGCTGCTGTACCACCTGCATAATCTGCTGAAGCTGTTCTTGTGTCAACTGCTGCATGGGTGTGTACCGATTTCCCTGCTGAATTATTCGAATCGGGTTCTGACTCGAACCAAGTGGAGGGGAATTAAAGTGGTGCTGACCTGGGGACACTAATGTGAAGCTGACAGTGTTTGGTGCTGCCGTGTCAACGGGAATGTTTTTTCTTTGTGCAGCCGCCACAACTTCTGTTTGTTGCTGAGCCAACTGTTGAGCCTGGATTTGCTGAATGACATTCTGCAGCACTTCTGGAGTCAGCGTCACTCCACTTGCTGCAGAAACAGTTATTGTGTGTGGCTGCATGATAGTTCCACTCTGGATTAGCTGTGATGCACCGGAGTGCTGCAGTATCTGATCATCTCCATTCTGTACATAATGAGAATTACCTTCTTGAATCTCATCTTGAAGAAGTTGGGTGGTATCATCAGCTCCAACCACAACTGACTGTTGAAACTGGTCATCATTTGACTGAGAAACTATAACAGATGCTGGTAAAATATCACTGGGAATTGAAATAATATGCCCATCTTGTAAAGATCCAACATCAAAAGTGTGGCTGTTATCATCTCCCATGTCTTCAGATTCTGTCACCCCATTATTTAAAATAGAAACACAACCTGACCCGTTTGAATATATAGCTTCAGATGTGTTAGTCAGAAGAGATTCTGAAGTGTGAACTAATACACTGTCACCGTTACTGGACATATGTGGTTGTGATAAGCTATTGTCAACAATCAAGTCTCCGTTGACTACACAGGCATGGCCCTGTACTGTGTCACAGACTTCACCCTCCTCGTTTGTCACAGTATAACCAATCGCTGAACCATCAAAGGCATTGGCATCCTCCAAAGCTTGGCTGAGCAGTTCCTCGCTCATCCCATCTTGGTCGTCCTGCTCATGTGAAGCGTCTACAATGTCTGTACTGTGGGTTAAACAATCCGACACGCTCCCATCTAACAGCTCTGATTCTTGCTCGGGTTCCGCCATGTTTGTTTGGCATTGGTGATAATATAACAACACACTGGACGTGTTCTCGCTCAAATACTTCACATATTACGGCTAAATCTCACAAAAAACGTTCGTGGAATATAAATAAAACAACAAACACGTGTAATATAGGCTATAATCTTAATACAACCCAGGTAGATAAGGTAAAACGATGCGTGTGTAGTGGTTCCCGCGAACTACTGTCCCATTACACACAGAACAAGGGCCGCGAGGTGGCGTTGTGTGACAGCACCGTCTGCTGCACCTGAGTTTACGGCTTGCCCTGGGTATTGATGGGCGCTTGGAGATGGGGATGGGAGAGATGACGAGATCTATTTTGTGAAGAAGATATTCTCTATAGGTATTGACAGGCGCTCGAAGGTGGGGATGGGGAGAGAGAATTGTGAGGACGATATCTAACTTGTAAGGAAGATATTCTCTATAGGTATTGATAGGCACTCAGAGATGAGGATGGGAGAGGAGTGAGAGGACATGATCTAGTTTGTGAGAAATATATTATCTAGTGGTATTGATGGGCGCTCGGAGATGGGGATGGGAGAGAGAGGAGAGGAGAGAGTTGGGAGGAGATCTAGTTTGTTAGGAAGATATTCTCTGTAGGTCGTAGGTCCTCTTTTGTCCCATATCACTGCTCGAGGTTATTCGGGATGTTTTCAAGTAATCAAAAAGTACGACACATGTAATGTGTCAAGGGCATTAAAATAATAAAATAATCTGGCGATTGGTGATTTGTTTCTCCCCATTGCATATTCCTCGCGTACTCAGTTGCTGATCGAAGGTTGTGGGAGGCATGTTCGCCTACAGCAGTCTGCTAGGCGTTCATGATAATGACATCCTTTGCCTTTTCAGGGCGTATCAGAACCAGCCCCAGCATAGTTTGGCTATATGTGACTTCACTAGGCAATATTTGGTTCTGTAGTCTGCAAAAGAGACCTGTTTTATGAACAACTGCAGGATGAAATTGACAAGATTCCTAACATGATCTGTTAACAGTAACAGAAGAATTTTTTTCCCCCAAAGTAGACAAAGACAATGGGGCTGTAGAAAAAGTTTTTTCCCCCAAAGTAGGCAAAGACAATGGTGTTGTAGAAAGAGCTATGGGAAAAGAAGGGATCAACACAGTGGATGATAATGGGGAAACACTAACAGACTTGCTTGCAGTCAAACACAGTAACTGGAGGTACCATTTTTGCACACAGGGACATTGATAAATTAATTTGACATTTAGCAGATACGGAGACAAGAACCAGATTGACACCCTCTGAATCAATAGAAAATTGAGAATCGCTTTCATGTCTGCTCGTGCATACAGAGGAGCAGATGCTGGAAGTGATCTCAGCCCATTCATAGGACAAGTGAAACTGAAACTCAAAGCAGATGTCAACATAAAAACACACACACAGCAGAGGATAAATAGCCAAAGACTTTATAAGTAAAAAACAAGAGTTCCGGTTTGAACTTAAAAACAGATAAAAGGTTCTTGAAGAGGAGAGAAAGCGAGAGAAAGAGAGAGAGAGAGAGAGAGAGAGAGAGAGAGAGAGAGAGAGAGAGAGAGAGAGAGAGAGAGAGAGAGAGAGACAGAGAGAGAGAGAGGAAGAGAGAGAGAGAGAAAGCAATATAAAGATCATTGTCTCCAAGGTGGCTATTAGTCGTGCAAGAATAAAGAAGAGTGATATAAAACTGTGGATAACTAATGATATCTCGCAGTGCATTTAGAATAGAAAGACAACAAAACTTGGACACATCCCAAGTTTGGCTAGCCTCCGAATAACGGCCACATATTATGGCGGCCAAAAACACACCCTGACAGGGCCTCAGTCACATGTAAATTGCAGACTTCCGGCGACTATACCGCCACCGCCGAGAGTATCTCTCGGGGCTAAACTAGATGGCTGGGACTCACGAGCAAAGCTACAGAAGATGCGGTATAGTTGCTGGAAGTCTGCAATTTAAGTCGTCGGAAATCTGCAATTTACATGTGACTGAGGCCCTGTCAGGGTGTAATATGTGGCCGTTATTCGGAGGATAGCCAGACTTGGGATTTGTAATGTTAAGACCACACAAGATGAAATTAGAGCTAAAGAAGATTATAGGAAAAGAGACAAACAAGTAAAAAATGCTGCAAGAAAAGATAACAGATCATATGTTGATAAATTGGCTGAAGAAGGGGAACAGGTAGCTAAGGTTGGGAACAGCAAAATACTTTACAGAACATTAAAACAACTAGCTGTAACTTTCAAATCACGAGATGGTCCAATTGAAGGCAAAGATGGCGCAATGCCCACATCTGATGCTGAAAAGAAGATGAGAAAAACTTTTCAAGGAGACCTCAAAAATAAGTCTGACCAACTAGACGTACTGAAAGATGAAGAGGAGGCCACAAGTAACACTCTCCCCCATAAATGACGAGCAGATTAATGAACTCAAAATGACAGAATATTCCCTAGCGTCTAACGAGACTGCGAGTGATGATATTTTTACAACAAAAACGCTTCAAGAGCAGACGAGACTACCCATCAAGTGCTAGAACTATTTAAAAACAAAATAATTTGACAGAAGGAAACAATCCCAGTACAATGAAATAAAATAATAATTATCAACCCCCCTCCCCCTTTTTTCTCCCAAAAGGTGATTCCATCGACTGCTCTTAACGACTGCCCTAACTGGACAGGAATTAGCTTACTATCTGTAATGTCATAAATCTTTTGCAAAGTAATCCTAAATACAATTACCTTACTATCTGTAATGTCATAAATCTTTTGCAAAGTAATCCTAAATACAATTACCTTACTATCTGTGATGTCATAAACCTTTTGTTTTCACCTTTCATATTAAATCAGAAGGATATGTGGAGACAGCTTATTTTTGTGTGTGTTCAAAATACTGGTCCTGTTAAAGTACCATAGTAGAAGAAGAAGAAGAACAAGAAGAAGAAGAAGAAGAAGAAGAAGAAAAAGAAGAAGAAGCAAAACTGTCGTATTGTTTTGAAAATCTATAATCAACGGGATTAACCGATATAGCCTCATATAAGATTTTGGGAAAGTGTAGTCAATGGGAGATAAGCAGGAGTATTCTGAACGGGAGATAACCGAGAAAATACTCAAATTAGGACTTCCAAAAATATTCTTGCAATAAATGAAGTGCATTTTGCTTCATTGATGCTCAAAGTTTATGAAGAAACAAAACAATGAGCAAATCCAGTTTAGACCGGATTTTTCCCCCCTTATAATTAACCTTGGCTCAGAGGTCAACCCAACCTTGAGTGGGTACCAGGTATAGGCCTGGAAAGTTAAGGTGGTGGCGTGATGCCACATCATCCACTGGGTGCTAATTGTTTTATACAATAAAGGTCTGGTCTTATATGCCCAATATGCCTGAAGGGTGGACATAAGTTCTTGACTGACGCTCACGAAGTCCTTTCTCGCATGCTGGTATGGCCGTTACGGGTGACCCGGTTCTCACTTCTTTGTAGGTTGAATTGAATATCTGAAATCTGCCCTGGTGGTCTGACGTTCAGACTGAGATTTGTAAATTTCAGGATGGAATGATAATCTTTCAGTAGCAGCCTGGATGGGACAAATCGATAGATCGACTGCGTGCATAAGGTTAAAGATTAAAACAGGCTTGTATTGCTTTTGCATTACTTGAGGTTGAATAAGGTATTTTGGATTTGCCCTGTTAGCTAAACACATAGAAGCAGGTTTGTATTATTCCCCTGGGGGAGACCTTTGGATAACAGCCGTAAGAGAAAAAAAAAACGAAACGGAAATGGGGAAGGGGAGGGGAGAAGAGAAGATTTGGGCAGCTACTTAGTAAACTGCTGGGAGAGATACAGTGAGTTGCATGTTCACATGGAATGATTTTTATCTCTGAAAGCGAGGGTTTGTGTTGTGGTATGGAGAATTAGCGGGTAGCTGATTTTTGCGATCGTAGTGGCGATGTGTCCCATGCAATGTCGCGTGTGCTGCTGCCAATTTTTTCATGACTGACTTCTTCAATCAATGATGAACTGCAAGGCAGCTGGCATATGCCTTATCAGTTAATCTATTAATCCTAGTTGCAACTTCATACAAAATGGGTCACCACGTAGTTGTTCCGTTCCCGTGTCAAAGATAATCCCCACAAAAGGGTCATTGCTGTCGCTTTTGAAATAATTGTAGCAGATAGCAGTCTCAGCGCAGCAAATAACATGTACTCGCATTTAATGCATACGGCAGCCATCGAAACTGCCAACAATAATAGAACGGCTGTAGAAACGCAGTTCTTTGTCAAAAGAAGCAGCAGCTAAATTAGTTGCACAGGCAATTGATCGCATAAGACATCACCAGAAAATAACAATAGGCATTTTCCTTATCTGCAGTTCACAACGTAAACCACCAACAAGCCTTAGGCGTGTGCGAGCTCTTGGAGTTTAAGAGGACTTATTTGTTTGTCCATTTGTTTTCCCATGTCACAGTGAGGCGAATTTTGATTGATTTTAACCGGCACAGGAACAATTAAAGAGATATTTAGAAGGCAACATTAAAATAAGTTGATTAATAAGTTGTCAGCTGTAGGACCTTCATTAAAAGGTCAAGAGTCACCGCGTTCGAAAGTCATGTTGCATACGCCAAGATGAGTCAAAAGGCGGCTGGTTGTTTATTTAAAAAAAAAAAAAAAACGGAAAACCTACAACGAAACAAGTCTCTATTTTCGCGGCATTGGTAAAGACCCGTTAATCAGATTCAATCACTGACGTACTCAACATTTTGCTGTGAAATATTTTTTGCAATGTTCTGTTCAAAACTGGATCATTCTGTAAGTCCTACTAGTTATAATAATCAACCAATATGCAAATTCGAACTCAAAACCTTCGGGCCGACATAAAGCTAGCCTCTGCGTTGTCGCCATTCAGAAAGTGATAGCAAATAGTAAAATATTTTGGGAAATTACCTAAATAAAGGGAGGTAAAATTAATTTCTTTTACATGACATTTTCTTTTA